GAGAGAGAGAGAGAGAGAGAGAGAGAGAGAGAGAGAGAGAGAAAGGAAGGAAGGAAGGAAGAAAGAGAAAAGGAAGAAAGGAAAGAAGAAAGAAAAAGGAGAGAGGGAAGGAAGAAAGAGACAAGAGAGAGAAGGAAGTAAGGAGGGAAGGAAGGAAGAAAGAAAGGAAGGAGTCCAGGCAAAGAGAAACTATACTATTTTAGATCTGGAAAGGACTCTAGAAAGCATCTAGTTGGCCCCTGGACTGGGATGAAGGAAAATTTCCTAGAGAAGCTAGAACCTTCGCTGAGATTCTGGAGGCTAGGTTAGATTTGGATGAGTTCGAGATAAGGAGGAAAGGCATCCATATATGAGGGAACAGAGCAGAAAAAGTACGTAGCTGGAAACCCTTGAGAGCAGTTAGGCAGCACAGTGGATAAAGCTCCAGGCCTGGAGTTAAGAAAACCTGAGTTCAATCTGGCCTCAGACATTTATTAGCTGTGTGACCCTGAGTGAGTCACTTAACCCTATTCGCCTCAGTTTCCTCAACTGCAAAATGATCTGGAGAAGGAATGGCAAACCACTCTGTATCTTTGCCAAGAAAACCCCAAATGGGGTCACAAAGAGAATGAAATGACTGAAATAACTAAACAGCAGGGAACTATTGGTTGAGGTGGTATAATGAGGTGGCACTTTTGAGCAGAAGCTTCATATCAGGAAAGAGAGATAAGGCTGGAAAGGTAGTTTGAGAGACTGTGGAGACTATTCAACGACAGGGGAATGGGCCTGGCTTTTTGTCCAATCTCTCCCTATTACATTCTAAGCTCTTTAAGACAGGATGCCATAATTTTGCTTTTCTCTCTCTTTCTTTCCTTCTTTCACATTTCCCTGTTCCTGCAGTGGTCTTGCAGAGCTATTAACAGACTTAACAGAGTTAATCAGGCTCTTATCTCAAAGCAGCAGTCCTTAAACATCTTAACCATAAAGTCAAAGAATGTCAGAGATGGAAGGAGAACACAGAATGTTGGAACTGGAAGGGGCCTTAGAAAATAGAATGTCAGAATTAAAAGGAACCTTAAACTACAGAATGACAGAACTCTAAGGGGCCTTAGAGACACTGCCCTCCCAAAGCCCCTTACCCTATGTCTATTTCCAATACTTCATACTGTTATCCAGTATATTCTATACATAGCATACTGTGTATTTTTAGCAAACATTCTGCTATCCTCTTGCAGTACCAGTGCCAATTGGATCCAGTTCCCTGGGTTTTGAGGTCCTGTCATCTTCAATTGTGGATAGCAACTTTGAGCTAGATCTGAATGTGAGTATAGCTGTCGATTTATAATCATTGATATGCTTATTTTAGCCCATCAAGGACAGAACTTATAGATTAGCCCTTAAAAGTCTTTAAAGAGACAATATGTCTTCCTGGGTAGGGTGAGGGGGCTGATGTGCATATTGAATAAAGCTGAGAAGTCCTCTAGATTCTGGCTCCCTTTGAAGTCCTAAAAAGGTATTGGAGCTCTCCAGAACAAGTCCCCTCACCCCTCAGGCTCACTATTCTTGGAAGCAATGTGTGATCAGTACCATTCCAGCTTGGGGCTAACCATTCACTCTAACGTTTCCATTTCCCTAACCTCTAGGCTATTTCTACACTGGGGACTAGAAATAGATAGATAGATAGATAGATAGATAGATAGATAGATAGATAGATAGATAGATAGA